CTGATATTTTCATTTTTACAAATAAACTCCTAAAATCCTTTCATAAGGCGTTCATCCCTACTGTCATAAAATCCTTTCAGAAAGAAAATCCAGCATGCCATCTCAATCAGCAGTATTATCGTCTTTCCTAATCCATTGCCTAACTGGTTTTCTTGGATTTCGTACCCTTCTCCTATTCATGTACGAGTTCTGATTCTGACTGGTGCCAGGCCTGGTTGATAAACCACTTAAATTTGGCTCTCCAGGAGCTGCTCCAACTGGTTGTCTTTCGTCTTGTTCGGTAACCTCGCTGGTGGATGTTGGTGTAGGAGTAGATCTGATTGGCTGAGGAAGAAACATACCAGGCAAAACAACTATGTTTTTACGGGGTTCTATTAAACCACTGTTTTCTTCCTGCAATTTTAGGATGGTCTCAAATCTCTCTCTTCTTATGTTCTCCGCCTCAGAGTGAAGGAGCTTCTCATTCTCATTGGTGTTGGTTTCATCAGAATCCTGTATCTGCAGTAGCAAAATAATATTAGAAAAAGAGTATTAGCTTCAGCTAACTCTGACTGTAAGATAGGAACAAATTTTTTTGAAGTATTGACCGATGTTCAGGACAAGAAATGGAAGAAGATTAACAACCTAGATAATATTAGTCCAAAATGTTTTATCCATTCATTTTAGAAGCAGTCTTGATTGGCTTAATTACCACCATAAAAAAATTATGACTTTGGCCTCATATAAAAAGATCAAAATGCTCTTGATCTTTTGAATTTGCATTGCCAATGACATGGAGCCACAAATCCTTTTGCAAAACTATCTCCAGAGTCCAACCTGCAAGTACGACCCTCCTAATCCCTCTTGAGACCTATCACTATCTCGCAACCTCACTGACCAAGAGATTGACAACTTCAATGCTTTATTGGCCCAGTTGGCTCATACTTATGTTACCTGTAGTTCCAGATAAGCTGGTTTGGACTATTTCAAAAATGGTGATTTCTTGGTCTTTTGTCCCAGTAGCTCGTGGTCTTCAGATTCCAATGGAAACAAATCTGGAAGAAGCAAGCTTCACCTTGTATGTCATTCTTCACTTGAGCAGCAAATCTTTACCTTGGATTAACTTCAGATGTGATAAAATCATTGTTAATGATTGCCCCATTTGCCTGCGGTAGAAAGAATCCCCTAAGAATCTTCTTCTCCGGTGTCCTGAAGCGAGAATATCAAGGGATTCTGCTCTCTCTTTTCCTAATCTTTCTTGGGTCGTGAGTGGCTCAATAGCTTATGAGATCTGGGCATTGGAGTGGCACCTTTGTTGGCAAGGAAATAGAAAGAATCTCATCCCATTCCATTGGTCACTACATGAGCTACATGGAAAGAAAGAAACATTATAAATCTCGTTGACAAAATCTATTGTGTTGTTAGTATTAGAGACCATTGGCTCCAAACCTCAAGTTTCTTGCGTAAAGGTTATCCTGTCCTTTCTGGAAAGGATCTTTGAACCTTTACTGATGTTCTGTGTTCCGCTTGTTAGTTCTTAGTTTTTGTTTCTGTATACCGTGGGAACCTCTTGATGCCTTATTAATATTAACATCGTTTTCTTTTTTTCTCTAACTCTTATTCCTCTCACCAGTAACCTTCAGGAGAAAACATCTTCCTTATTCTTACCAAGCCCTTTAGTTATTTTTCACTACACGTACCAGGAGTTAACTAATCTCTAAAGAGTCAATCAACACACCAAGCTGCTTCTCTCTTTCCTATCTTTTCTCTTTGTTTCTTTCTCTTGTGTAGTTTGGACAGACTTTCACTTAAGTACAAGCATCATGGTGGCAATCTTTGCTAAAAAATGTAGCATATGCTTTAATATAAACAATCATACGAAGAGAAAGGAAACAGAAAGTCTTTCAGGGCACTTATCTAATTTTGCTATCATTAAAGAGCACTGGTTTCGGACCTTAATAAATATTTTTTGAAGGTCATTCTTTCCTTGACGGAAAAGTCTTACAGGAGTCTTACACAAGCTCATTGACTTTTTGGCTCAGGCCCTTAAGCAAATTCTATCTTTTTTCCTTTTGTATATTTTGTACAAGGTTGACATCGCCTAAGTGCCGTGTTATGTTACGTGTATGTTTCTCCTTTTGATACAGACAAACAGACACATTATCATAGTGATTAGCAGTTGATGACTCACCAATTGAGAGGAATAAGCGCCAACCAAGTCATGCACATGATCGAGATCCTTGGTATGAAAGACCTTACGGCAAACTGGACAGTTCCCCATACTTTCTTCCATAGGGCCAGTGATGTCTGACAGCATCAATTACTAGTTAGACATTAACAAAAATATTCTTAATTGAAATAAGATTTACATTTTTACTTCAAGGAAAGGGTGATCGAAGGAAATGTGTTTTATCAATGTTGCTTTTCTTCATTAAAAAGTTCTAGCTCCAGTTTCACAATACCAGAATCCCCCTTTCTGTGCTAACAATTTGGTGTTAAAATAAGTTGAAACTTCTTTTGAAAGAAGAAAAAATAGGTTGACAATTTTATAAACTATCCAATGCAATAGAAAATGACAAAGTCTATCAACAAGGTAAAATAATGAAAACAGTGGAAAAAATAGGAACTATGGGTGCATGGAATATTTAGTTTCACAGCTCATTACATATCTAGACTGTCTGCTTCAAATATGCAGTAAACTGCCTGCCAGAAAACAACCTAGCCATGAACTCAGTCACAGAGGCCAATTCCCTAGAAACTAAACAAATAAAGAAACTTCCCGCACCTTCATGACTTTTGATATGTCTTATAGGGCGTTCAGTTGCCCTAGGTAAATCTTTAGCACTGGTCTCTTTCTGATCTTGAAGCCAATGCCACCACCTAATAATGCATTCACTAAGAAGGAAAAAGCACCCACAAGTTAGACCTAATTGAATAAAGAAAAATATTAGAAACAAGAAACTAGTACTCTACCTATGAAAGCAATGAAAACAAGACATCAACTTCATAAACGGTAAGCATTTGCTTTTATCATCTTCTGGGACCAAAGGACACAAACACAATGGACAATCTCCATCTGGGTGATTCATAATAGAGAGCCTCTCCACTGCTTCCTAAAAAAAATTATCTCAATCAGTCTTCGAATACATAAGAATTCTGTTTCCTCTCAAGTATGAGTAATTTGTTATTTAGAACTACAGACCATGCAGGCTACCAAATTGGTTATATTTGAATCCAAATTTTCAATTATTTATGCAGCTAAACCTAAAGTATCAGAAAGATTTCAATGCTATATTGTGCTTGTTTATAAGAATTTTATATTAAGTAAACTACTATATTATTTAGAGTTCTAATAGTATACTTATATTTTATAATTAGAGTTCAAATAGAATAAGAATAACTAGTTTATATATATTTTCTAAATGTAAACAAAACAACGTATATAAAATTAGAAGTTAATTTTCTCTAAAAATCTTCATGGTATCAGAACGTCGGTAAAAAGCTGCAGTCGCACATTCGCAGGCGCCGGTAAAAACTGAAGCTGCACATTTGCAGATGTCGATAAAAATTGAAACTGCACATTCGCAGACGTCGGTAAAAAGTGCAACCACACCTCCGTAAGCGCCAGTAATAATATACAACCGCACAACCATAAGCGCTGGTAAAAAGTTGCAATCGCACATCCTCAAACACCAGTAAAAAAGTACAGCCGCACATTCGGAGACGTTAGTAAAAATTTACGCCACATATCCAGAAACACTAGTAAAAAATTACAGCCGCACATCAATAGATGCAGGTAAAAAAGGTCACACCATTACCTTTTCCTGCGCACGTTCAGAAATTTGCCCGGAGAAGACGAGCCAAGCCGACTTTGAGCTGTTTTAGAACCGAGTCTGAGTCGTTCTAGAGTCGAGTTTGAGTCGTTTTAGAACTAAACATGAGCCGTTTAGAACCGAACCAGATCTGCTTCCCTTTTTTTGGGTCCTTAGTGGAGATAGGAGGTCTATTTTTCATTACTGGGTATTTTTTCTTATTTTAGCATTCTAAAATGACATAAGCAAAAAAAGTGAGTGTTACTATTTTTGATAATCCTTCATTACAAATCGATCCCATAAAACTTGATGAAACTAATTATTTTATTTGGTCGAGATCTTATTTATTGTTCATCAAATCTAGAGGATTGCAGGCTTACATTACTGGTGAGGTGAAGAAACCAGATGTTAGTAGTTTAGAATATTATCAATGGGACTCTGAGAGCTCATTGATAATGCCATGTCTCATAAATTTCATGCAACCCTATATTGCCAGAGCATATCTGTTGCTTAACATTGCTGAAAAAATATGAAATGCAGCATCTTTTACATATTCACAGATGGGTAATGACATTCAGATTTATGAACTCCAGAATAAAGTTCATGGCACAAAGTAAGGAGAGATGACTATTTCTCAATATTTTTCTAAATTAAATGGATTATGGCAGAAGTTAGATTACTATCAAGATTTTCAAGCAGAGTGCCCTACAGATATAGTTAAATTTCAAAAATTGACAGAAAAAGAGCAAATTTATAATTTTTTAACTGGTTTGAACACCAAATATGATCAAATACAGGTCCAAGTGCTTGGTAAGGATCATTTTCCTTCATTAGAACAAAGTTATGCTTATGTTCAGCAAGAAGAGAATAGAAGAAATGTCATGTTTCACATTGCATCAGTTGAAAAAGCTGGATTAGTTGCTCAGTCTAATTAATCCAGAGAGATATGGAAATGTGACTATTGTGGCAAGCGAAGACACGTTAAGGAAGCTTGTTGGAAGTTGCATGGAAGACCAATTAGAGATCGGGGAGGAAGAAGAAGTGGAACCACAATAGCTCAAGCAAATTTTGTTGAAACTAGGGGAAACACTTGATTCACCATCCATTTGAGCCTTTTCTATAGAAAAAATTCAAAATCTGAAGCGTCTTCTGAGTCAACTTAACTCTCGATCAACTGTTGGCACATCAAATATGATAAAATCAAGTATTGTTCATTCTATTTCCACTCCTGATAATTGGATTATAAACTCTGAAACTAACAGACACATGACAGGTTATTCTAAAAAATTCTTAACTTATTCTTCTTGTACTGAAGGGGATAATATCCGTATAACAGATGGGTCATACACCCCCGTGTCAGGAACAGGTTCCATTAATTGCACTCCTACTATTACACTGTTTTCAGTTTTACATGTGTATAGTTTTTCTGATAATTTTTTATCTATTAGTGTCATAACAAAAGATCTCAACTGTAAAATTGAATTTTTTTCCTGATCATTGCATCTTTCAAGATCTTCAAACCGAGAAGAGAATTGGCACTAGTAGACTGCAAGATGGCTTATATATCTTGGATAGACATCTGAACTTAATTAGAAATTAAACAACCATTGGGAATAAAGAAGTCAATATGGAGATAGTACAATGGCACCGACGATTGCGACATCCTTCCTTTTTTGTTTTAAAAAAATTATATTATAAATTATTTAAAAGAACTTATATGGAATCTTTATTTTGTGATGCATGCGAACTTGCTAAACATAAGATGAGCTCTTATCATTTAAGTAATAATAGAAGTATTGATTCTTTTAATACTATTCACTATGATGTGTGGGAACCTACTCAGAATACCTCTCTTTCTGGTCATAGATGGTTTGTTACCTTTATTGACTGCTATACTAGATTAAATATGAATTTATCTGTTAAAAGCAAAAAGTGATGCATTTTCATGTTTTCAATCTTTTCACAAAATGATATATACACAATTTGGTTCTAAAGTTAAGATTCTGCGAATTGACAATAGTATAAAATATATGAATAGTAGGTTCCGTAACTACTTGGAGTCAAATGGGATAAATCATCAAATAAGTTGTGCATAAACCAGTAAACAAAATAGGGTTCCTGAAAGAAAAAACAGGCACATACTAGAGGTAGCTCAGTCACCAATATTCACTATGAATCTACCAAAAAGTTACTTGGGAGATGCAGTTCTCTCAGTCTATCTTATCAATAGAATGTCTTTACAGATCCTGAATTTTAAAAGTTCTATAGAGGTTTTGGAAGGAAAAAATTTCTACATTATTCCCCCAAAAGTGTTGGGATGTGTGTGCTTTATTCATGTTAGAAATATTGGTAAACTAGAACCTAGAACTTTTAAGTGTGTATTTGTTGGATATTCTTCTACCAAAAAGACTATAAGTGTTATCATCCACCATCTATAAAATACTTTGTAACTATGAATGTTACTTTTAGGGAAAATGAGTCTTACTTCAACTGAAACCCAACACCTTTTCAGGGGGAGAGTGAGAAGGAAGAAGTGATACCAAATTGGGTAACGATTGAGAATCATATTCAATGGGAGAATTCTATTATAGAAAGTCTTAATCAAAAAAGTAATGTTAAACGTCAAAATAAATCAGACTTGAAAAGGTATTCAAGAAGAGAGAAGTTTGAAAAAGTCATTATGCAATCTGTCCTAGGTCAAGAATCTTCTTTGGTTTCATAAAATACTGGTGAGTTATCTTTCTCTTGTGATTTATCAGATAAACCTATTGTTATTAGAAAGGGAAAGAGAACTTGCACTAAGCACCCTATATCTAACTTTGTTTCCTATGACTCTCTATCTGCCTCCTATAGAGTCTTTGTCTTGTCTGTTTTCTCTGTGTCTATTCCACAGGATTGGAAAAAAACTCTAGCAGATCCCAAATAGAAAAAAACCATGATTGAAGAAATGAGAGCATTGACAAAGAATGAAACATGAGAACTTGTTTCACCTCCACAGGAAAAAAAGATAGTTGATTGCAAATGGGTATTCACTGTAAATACAAAGCAGACGTATCGATTGAA